CTCACACCCGGGGCGGGGACTGGGACGCGGGGCCTTTCCCCTCCGGGGGGCGCCGGCTCACACCCGGGGCGGGGACTGGGACGCGGGGCCTTTCCCCTCCGGGGGGCACCGGCTCACACCCGGGGCGGGGACTGGGACGCGGGGCCTTTCCCCTCCGGGGGGCGCCGGCTCACACCCGGGGCGGGGACTGGGACGCGGGGCCTTTCCCCTCCGGGGGGTGCCGGCTCACACCCGGGGCGGGGACTGGGATGCGGCGGCTTTCCCCTCCGGGGGCGCCGGCTCCCATCCGGCCCCAGGGCGGGGTGATGCCTGACTCTGGCGAATCCTGACCTTTTGCCCTCCTGCTTGCAGGTGGCACCGATTCAGCCCTGGTGACCTTTAAGGGCTGCGCCACCCCGGCCATGTGCCAGAGCTCGCTGCTGGCCCTGGTGCAGGAGCTGGACGGCGCCGAGGTCTATTGCTGCACCGGGAGCCTCTGTAACACCCGCATCATGGACGGGCGGGTGGCCGAGGGGCGGCCCAGCCACCCCTCCCCCACCCACGCCCCCACCCCCAAGCCAGGCTTCATCCTGGAGGAAGACCAGGAGGAGGAGGACAGGGTCCCCGTTGCTGGGGGCCACCCTCCGTTGGCAGGGAGCCACGGCGACCGGGAGGCGAAGACCACCGAGAGTTCCGAAGGGCGGGGCTTGGAGGAGGGAGGGGCCTTTGTCGCCGGGAACCACGCCGCGTCACCTACAGGCGGACAGGGTGTCACCCCGCGCCCCGGCCATGGGACCGCATCTGCCGAAGACCGCAACAACGCCGGCTCCAGGGACAACGCCTTCAGTGCGGGAGGGGTCTTTTCCGAGAGCAACGCCGCGCGGCCGACGGGCGTCCCTCACCCCGATCCCAGGGCTACAGGCGGCCCCGCTACCATCGTCCTGGACGGGAGCAGCCGCTCGGAGCCCGACACCAGCAAGACACCGGAGAACGGCCGGGAGATTCCAGCCGGCAGCGGCCTGGCCCACACAGACGCTGAGGAAGAGGAGTGCGAGGAAGAAACCAGTTACTCTGCCCGGGACCACATTACCGGTGAGGCCTTTGTCTCCGCCGGCAGCACCAACTCCCCGCGGCTGGACCACGGTGACGGCTCTACCGAGTCGTCAGCCCACATCGGAGCTAGCCCAGCTCTCCGTGCCGGGGTCTTTGTTGCCGAAAGAGACGGCCACAGCTCTGCCGATGCACCGTCCGGTGCCGGCAGCAGCCCGGTGAGCCCCGGCGACGGGGTCGTTGCCGAAGGAGCTGGCCACGGCGCCACCGATTCACCATCTCTCTTTCCTGCAGGTGGCTCCGGCACCGAAAGCCGCACCGGGTCAGCCAGAGAGAGCTTCGTGGCCGAGGGCAGCGCCGCTCACAGCACCGGCGGCTCGACTCCCGGCTCCCCCGGCCACCGGATCGACACCGTAGTCCACATCCCCCATCTCGCCACCAGGCAGAATGAGAGCTTCTTCTCTGAGGACAAGGAGGGAAGTTCCAGCCAGCCCAGCGCCTCCCCAGCCAGCCCCAGCGGCACCATCCTGGCCGCCGGAGGAGCCGGAGCCGGGTCCCACCGGGGGAAGAATAAGACCCTCTGCACCAAGCGCCCGGGAGTGGCTCCGGTCGGCCAAGAGGGCTCCTTGGAGCGCACCGAGGGCGACCGGGACTGGCCAACCATCTCCTTCCCCATCACCGTGGAAATGCCCAACAGCTCCCTGCGAGGTCACCTTGGCAACGCCAGCGCCCCGGGGCTGGACTCAGTGGAGGGGCTGGTGAAGAACACCAGCGACTGGTTGTACGCCAACACCCCGGGGAAGCCACGTCCCCCCTACCCCAGCGGAGCCTTTGGCCTCGGCAGCAACTTTGGCCTCGTCACCCTCACGCTCCTGCTCGCGGTACTGCTGCACTGAGCCCTGCGCGGAACCCAGGAGTCCGGGCTCCCAGCCCCGCTGCTCTAACCCACTAGACCCTGCTGCTCCCTGCCCAGAACCAGGGAGAGAACCCAGGCGCCACCCTAGCACCGAGAGCCTGCCGCCGAGCGGAAGGAAAGCCCTGGCCGGTACCGGAGCAGGACACCTGGGTTCTTTGCGCTTGGCTGAGGGTGCATCTGTGAAGGTGACCCCATCGCTCCCTGCTGGCTGGAATCGAAAATGCTCCCCCCGTGTGTCATAGACCCCGTAGTGCTAGTGGCAGAGGGAGATTTCCCTTATAGAACAGGGGGCTGGGAGCTCCCGTAGTGGCTGCTGCTCCGAGGGGCCCTATCCACTCTATAGGTAGATACGTATAGATTATCTAGCGCTGTAGACTGCCCTGTACTAGATCCGTTAACCCTTGAGATGCTGGAGGGTTTGGGGTTTTTTTGCCTGTTAAAGGCCTGGATTAGAAGAGGGGGTGCGACTTAACACAACAACAACACAACCCAGCACTGCCAGACCGCACATCCATATGGCCACACGGGCAGACAACATACAAACGCACATACACACCCCTGCTCCAATACACAAAACACACACATCTGCACTATCCGAACACACGCACCTCGCAGACACACAAACACAAGTACACACAAGGCAGGCAGCGTGCACACACACACACACACACACACACAGAGTTTATTTTGCTATCTATGAAGTCTCCTAGGGCTTAAATATTTATTCCGGAGGAACTTTACCCTGTCAGACAACAGCCCCTGGGGATGGGAGGGGGGGGGTCGTCCCCGTTTGCCCCCTGCCCCTTAGCGCCCCATGCTGGGGGGGGGGAAGGGGGGCGCGGTCTCATCCCTCAGCTGGTTGGCTGCCGACGGGGCCCTTTACTGCCCTGGGGAGACGGATTACCCACCACCACCGACCCCCACTCCCAGTTGATGCTTAATTTATTGTCCAGTGGTGCAGGGACGGAACCGGAGCC